AATGCAGCTCGGACTCACCTCTTTGCGGATTCAACGAGAGCTCCAATCCTGGGTTGTTCTCACAGCGCCATCTTGAGTCCTCTCCCAGTATATTTTTTAAATGCTCAACATCACTAATCATTAGGGAAATGCAAATTATATAATTTGCAAAATAAAACTATAGTGAGATATCACATGTCAACCAAAATTGAGGCTGTTGAGGCAAAAATAATTTGACAAATTATTTCTGCATTCCAGTTACTGCATTGGAAGCCAAATGTGAGGACTGGACTAGGAAGACACATCAACAAATTAGGGAAGGTTCTAGAGTCTATTACAAGTGGGAAGGCTTTTATAGGAAAATTTAGGAGAAGGTAGAGGGACTCCCATGTGGAACTATCATTTTTAATTGGACAGTATAAAACAGACAATGCAATCTAGATGCAGATTGCAATGTACAGGCTAAAATGTCTATATGCAAGACAATCAGTAATGCTTTATGGTTCAGAAATAAATCATGTCATTTTCAGTGTCAGTAAGATAGGCCTTAATCAACACATTAACAATGTGAGGAACTCATGATCAGAGTCATTACTAAGGGACAGGATGTCAATAGGAATTGCAAGACCTTCCCAAGGTGGGTTAATTTGGAACCCTGTTTACCTTTAAAGTGAACTATCAAATGTGACCTGTAGGTTATTTCCCCCTTTTGATCAAAAATCTTCCCATGGAAATATTGCTGCTCAATCTCTGCTTAAGTTAGAGTGATAGACATTGTTCACTTCTCAGCACTGGGAAGGCCCATTCCCAGGAAGTCATGTCCCTCAGCAAGGAGAAATAACCTTGTTATCACAGGCAGGCAAGATTACTAGCAACATGGGGAAGGTCACGACACAGGCTACATGTTATTTTCCTGAAAAGGAATCATCACCAGTCACTGGGGGACATTAGCTGTTGATCTCAAGGAATCTAGTATTCAGTACAAATTGTAGGCAAATAATTAAAAAAGAAAATATCAAAAACAATGGGCAGGTCTAGAATCAAAAAGCAGGTATACTCTAGTTTTCTTCTGAAACGTAATTATTCTCTCTCCAGTCCTTTTTTTACCAAAGACAAATAATGATATCCATTTTATTTGCAATGTAAGTTTTAGTCTTATCATAAGTGGTCTAATTATTTGCATAAAGTACAACTAAAATAGTGATTGGCCATATAGGCTCTTTTCAGTCGACTTCACTGGAACTTTTTCATAAGGGATTTTGGATTACACTTTTAAAAATCCCTTCAAGCTAGGGAGCCAAGCCAAGGATTCACCATCAGACCGTGCCTATAAAACCTCTATAGAATGGGTGAATTTCTCCCTTCTTGAGGTGCCCAAAATATCTTGAGGTTCCTAGGCCTGTCAGAAATTGGACATTCTTTAATTACCACAAGGTCAGGAACTCCATAAAGGAGCTCTATGTAGACAAGGTACCAGGCTAGTCTTTTCCAAGTCTATTGGCTTTACAAAGTCAATTTCAATCTCTCAAAGCAGTCTTGTCATATTTGAAAATATGTCATTCTAGTCAAAGCCTTGGTAAAATAACCAGTGTTTCCCATGTTGTCTTAAACAATTGTATCAAACTTATGCAAATAAATATATTGCCATAAAATAAAAACACTTATAGTTTTCAAACTCTCTGGAGAATTTAGGTAGAGATAAAAAGATAAATCTTTCAATTTTGCTCCCAAAAGTATACTTTACCCAATTGTTATATCAATAGCTCAAATGAAAAAAAAAATCTTGACCAGAAAACAAAATATGAAAAGAATCAGCAATGTTTCAAACAGTCATAAAAATCATTTTAGCCCTCTATCAGTTTAGTTTCATGTAATTCTTGTTTTGCTTGGTGTGGGGTTTGCTGTTTTCATGAATCTATCAGTTTATTATTAGAGTTATGGAAGTTTTTATCTAGTACATTGATCTGAAAGTTATCAGAAATCTGTGTTCAAGAGTAACTGTTAGCCTTTTCCATGAAAAGCATTTGGACTACAGCTCATTGTAAATGCTTTTAGTAAATAATTTGAAAGAATAACTGTGGATAACAAAAACTTAAAATAGTCATGGTTAAAATCTAATGGAAGTTTCCAATTGACAAAGAAATTTAGTTATTTCTATTATATGTGGCATTTTAAGACAACAAACAGAATCATGACTGACAGTATCACATCATGACTTCCAGCCTTTTATAAATTTCATGTATCTTAAGAATATCCATATTAATAATATATCCAGAGAAATATAACTTTAGAAAAGATTTAACATGGTCAAAATTATGACTCATAATATTAGATTTTTGTGAATTTATATAATTTGGGGGATATTTATATCAATAACATGTTCATATATATAACTGAAAGAAGATCTAGTACCATTTATCATTTGACAATGTTTCTCATACAATTTACCAAATAAGCCTAATCACTTAATATCTTTACAAGAGATATTCTTTGAGGCTCTCCAGAGGTCTAACTAGAAAACCCAAAAGTTAATTTTAAGGCAAACAACTTATTTTAGGTGTTGATTTTGGGAATTTTGTCAAAGATGTCAAAAGTTCCAAGCATTTGATCAAAACAGAATCACAGGTCACTGTTAATTAATATTTACATAACAAGAGTGGTAATCAAAAGACTTCAAAAGCAATATAGAAAGTCACAGAGATGTAAAAACCTTAACCCTTTCAAGTAACCAAAACCAAGTAAGGACAACACAGGAATTATCTGGATAAAATCAAGTTTCAAAAAGCAATAGAGTACAGAATTTAAAAATAAAACCTTTTACAATTTTATTATAAGAAAATTAATACTTGACAAAAATATTGTTGTTATAAGATAGAGGACCACTTTTCCTTTTGAATTATAGCCAACTTAATCACACACAAATTTTTTTTCATACATTCTTTTCTCACAAACCTTATTATGACATACTCAGATGATCAAAAACATGCTTGGACTTTCTGCTTTGTCTTATATTTCCACTTTCTTTTAACCAGTCATTTTACTTTAGGGCAAAACTTTACCATATGAGATTCTTTCTTACATAAAATTATTCTCTTTTCTTTTTAACCTTCCTTACCAAAAATTCATCTTCATATTTATAACCTTCTTCATATTTTTCTTTCCTACTAACTGGTTCCTTTTTAATCTTGTTCCCCTTTCCTTCCTAAATTCATATTTTGAAACAACCTTTAAGTAACCTATAAATTAGACAAAATTATTCTTTCTTTCTCAATAAAGAACAAATTTTTATGCCTTCTTATATTTTTTCTTATCAAAAACACCTCTTATTTTTGGTACATTATATATAAAATTACATATAAATATTAATTAGAACTTTTAACTCTTAGTAACCTTACATTTTAGTGACAACCTAGGCAACAAGAATCTTTGTCTCAAAACAGTATCTTATAAATGAAAACCATTTTATACTTTTTAGAAACATGTTTTCTTATACCATGTTTACCTTAATTGGAAATGACCCAGACATTGAATGAGTGTCTATTATTTAACATAGCTTTAAGATTTCCAATTACACAAAAAGTTCCTTTATAGAAGGGTATCCACTGACAGTTATCTGATTTATTTATTTTTAACAGCTTACCTAGAATATTTATGAAAACTGAAATATTAGACAAAGCTAGTCATCATTTCAAGTTATTTTCTGGCTAACCACTTTTATAGCCTGTGAATATCAGGTGTTCACTTAAGTAAGACTCTTAAAGTTAAATTTATAGATTTTTTGCCAAAAGCTCAGAAGATGGTTGTTTTTATTAAACTAGTCTTATTTGCTAAAAGATCTATTTAGGTGATATGAATTTACAAAGTATTTTGGCTTACTAATTTATAAGTGCACATTAATTAATAAACCAATTTGGTACCATGTAAACAATATACAGACATGTACACATGTACACATAAAAATACAAACATGCAGATAAAGTATAGCTTTGCTCTTAAAATTGGTTTCATGAGTCAGGTAAAACTCACCAAGTTAAAAGGTCAGTTGAATTAAATTGTGCCTCTGTAAATAGAACAAGTTAATCTGTCTTACGTGGCTGAAGATCTTACTGAGTATAGCAAATTCACATCTCAAATCACAGAGACATAATTTAAGTTTTCTAAAAGGCCAGTGAAGTTTTATATCTGCAAGGGACTGTGAGGTCTAGCAGAACATTTAAAGAATATTGTTTGATATTCAGTAGAAAGTTTAATCAGGTTTACTTCCACTTTAATGGAGGTGGCTGTATATATTTTACTAATGTACATGGAAGATTGGGATCATAATGGTCTGGCAAAGTTATCAATAAATAATCAGATGTGTCAATCATTAGTCCCAGTTTAGAAAAACATTTGTTGTGTCTGTATTTTTAGACTCTCAGTAGTTTCATTCTCACTCTGCAGTTGTTCCATTTGTCCCTTCTGTTTTAAATTTAAATACATTCTGTCCCTCTTGAAAGAAGTAAACGGATGCATTGTGAAATTCCAAAAGTCTCTCCCTAAGAGATATATGGAAGCCCAAGGAACAAGCAGAAAGGAATGAGTTCATATGAGAGAGAAGATGAAAGAACAGGGGTAGACAAGGAGGAGCCATGAGGAAGAACAGGAGAGAGCCTTCTAAGTGTTTTTCAACTAATGTACAATGGTTTGAATGTTTTTGAATATCCTTTTGTTTACCTCCAGATTGGATACAATTTTTTAAAAGAATTTTTAGAAGCTTCTAGGTGCTGTTGGAAGTGAGTTTCCCATTCAATCTGGTTCTAAAACCAACTTTTTCCATTTATGTGCACAAATACATTATTTTAGGCATTTTCTTTTTTTTATTGCATTTTAGGTTTTGGGGTACATGTGAAGAACATGCAAGATAGTTGCACAGGTACACACATGGCAGTATGATTTGCTGTCTTCCTCCCCATCACCTATATCTGGCATTTCTCCCCATGCTATCTCTCCCCAACTCCCCACCCCCAGCTGTCCCTCCCCTATTTCCCTCAACAGACCCCAATGTGTAGTGCTCCCCTCTCTGTGTCCATGTGTTCTCATTGTTCAACACCTACCTATGAGTGAGAACATGCAGTATTTCATTTTCTGTTCTTGTGTCAGTTTGCTGAGAATGATGGTCTCCAGGTTCATCCATGTCCCTACAAAGGACATGAACTCATCATTTTTGATGGCTGCATAATATTCCATGGTGTATATGTGCCACATTTTCCCTGTCCAGTCTATCATCAATGGGCATTTGGGTTGGTTCCAGATCTTTGCTATTGTAAACAGTGCTGCAATGAGCATGTGTCCTTATAGTAGAACTATTTATAATCCTCTGGATATATACCCAGTAATGGGATTGCTGGGTCAAATGGAATTTCTATTTCTAGGTCCCTGAGGAATCGCCACACTGTCTTCCACAATTGTTGAACTAATTTACACTCCCACCAGCAGATCTCCATTTTGGCCACTGCTGCTGCTGACCATCCTGGGTTAGATGGGTCCACTTATCTAAGTACTCTCAAGTAAAAGAACATGATACCAGCTGGTATCAACAGAGGTAGTATACCTTCAGTCTGGATGCATTTCCCATCTTGGCTGCTGTGAGAAAGACAAGCTCTGTAGTCAGTCGTGCTGGATCAGGTGTGCTTTCTGTAGTGGGTCAGGTGTGCTCTGTAGTGGGTCAGAAGTGCTTTCTTCTGGAGATTTTGCACAATAGGCTAAAAAGATATTTTTATGTGTTTTGGATTCCCAAGTCACCTCCAAAGAAGGGTCAGTGTGCTCAGGGCAAGAGATGATCAGTCTTTCTAAAGCCTCCAGGCTGAGAAAAAGTTAAGTTTGGCTAGAGGGAGTGAATGTCTCTTATCTTTGGAGCAAGAGTGCCCTCATGTGATTGAAAAGGAGAAAGCGAAGGAAAGGTTGTTTGACCCCAATCCACCAGGGATACAGTTCACTGAGCTGCTATTTTATCCAGCCCTAAAGTTCCCAATAAAACCCTTCCCTTGAATTGGTAGCAGTAACTCTCATTCTGAAAGAGTCATTGTACCTTCTGACCAAGGAGGAAACTACTTTCAATAAACCAGAACTTCAGCCCAGATGTGAGGGCTCCAAAAGGAACCCATTTGTAGCACCCAGGAGAAGCATTTGAATTTGGGAACACAATAGATTCATTACTGGTACATACACAATGATCAAAACCCACATTGGATGGTCCAGGGAGACTGCTCCAGAATCCTGCTGATTATGCCAGAATGTCAACTGAAATTAAGGCTCGTAAGGCAGACATAATTTGATAAAGGTGCTTTGGAAGCCAAATTTGAGGATCAACCCAGGAAGACACACCAACAAAGTTTGGAGGGTTCCAGAGTCCATCACAAGCTGGAAGACTTTTATAGGAAAATTTAAGAGAAGGGAATGGGACCCTTCACAGGAGTTGTCCTTTTTCATTGGAGATTACAATATAAGAGTTATAAACAGGCTGGGTGCAGTGGCTCACACGTGTAACCCCAACCCTTTGGGAGGCCAAGGCAGGCAGATCACGAGATCAGGAGTTCGAGATCATCCTGGCCAACATGGTAAAACCTCATCTCTACTAAAGGCTGTGGTGACAGGTGCCTGTAATTCCAGGTTCTTGTGAGGATGAGGCAGGAGAATTGCTTGAACCCACGAGGCATAGGTTGCAGTGAGCCGAGATAGTGCCAATGCACTCCAGCCTGGATGACAGAGCGAGATTCCATCTCAAAAAAAAAAAAAAGTTACAATCACTGGATACAGATTGCAACATATAGGCTGAAATGTCTATATGAAAGGCAACCAGTAAAAGTTTGTAACTGGAAAATAAATCAGCATCCTTTCCAGTGTCAGTAGGTTATGTCTTTATTAGTACAGTAACAACTTGAGGAACTCATAAGATTCATTACTGAGCAACAGGATGTCACCATGAATCATAAGACCTTCCCAAGGTGGGTTAATTGGGAAGCCTGTTTACTTTTAAAGTAAACTGTCAAATGAGATCTCTAGCCTATCACACCTCATACCCATTAGACTGGTTATTATAAAAAATATGAAAGATAAGTGGTGGCAAGGATGTGGAGAAAAGGAAACCTTTCCACACTAATGGTAGGAATGTCAATTAGTACAATCATTATGGAAACAATATGGAGATTCCTTAAAAAACTAAAAATATAACTATCGTATGAGCCAGCAGTCCCACCAAGGGGTATATACCTAAAAGAAATGAAATCAGTATGTTGAAGAGATATCTGCAGTTCTACAATCATTGCAAAATTATTTACAATGACTAAGATATAGAATCAACTTAAGTGTTTATTATCAAATGAATGGATACAGAAAATTATATATAGATATATATCTCGAATGGGACAGTATTCAGCCTTTAAAGAAGAAAATCCTGCCATTTGCAACAACATAAATGAAACTGGAAGGCATTACACTAAGTGAAATAAGCCAACCACAGAAAGACAAATTCCTTATGATCTTACTTCTATGTGGAATTTATAAGAGGACTCACAGAAGCAGAGTAGAATGGTGGTGGTTACCAGGGGCTGCTGGTGAGGGGGGCTAGAGGATGTCTTACAAAGTATATACAATGTTTCAGCTACACAAGAGGAGTAAGTTCAAGAGATCTATCATACATAACATGGTAACTGCAGTTAATAACAATATATTAAGTACTTTAAAAATTACAAAGAGAAATTTTAAGCATTCTTGCCACAGAAAGTATGTAGAGTAATACATTTGTTAAATAGCTTGATTTAGCCATTCCATAAAATATGCATGCATCAAAACATCATGTTGTATACCAAAAATATATACAATGTTTATTTGTCAACTTAAAAAAATTTTCAAAGGAAGTCTGGCATTTTCTGCCTTTTGGCCTCAGAATATAACATATCATCAACCATCTCTATGTAATGATTTGACTCTGGTTGAAAATGGGATAGCCAGAAAACAATGAAGAAACACTATTTTTTAGGACAATGGTAGTGATATGTATTTAGGGATGCAGACACGCCAGCAATTTCTGTCACAGAGAGGTCAAGTTTTGTTGGATATCAATCAAAACAGCCTTCAGAGAATGAAATATATCTGCCACGCTTGTCAAAAGAAAAATGCTTAGGGTCTCCCTACTAAGTTACTTAGAGAAGAGAGTTTAAGTGAAATAGTGCATTTTCTGGATCCCTGGGGAACAAAACATGAATCAAATGTAGTTTACTCATTTGGACACCTACAACTGCTGTAAAGTGAACAACTATTACCTCCATTTTCAGATGAGGAGACTAAAGTGCAAGAAGCCTGATGGGAGAAGGTCTTGACGTGTGTGATGGAGTATAGGTGGTTTGCTGAGAGGTGATGGCAACCAACACTGAGCCATCCCCAGGCAGAAAACTGAATAGTAAACAATATGTGCTAGTTACACACTAGTTAAACCAGTTCCCATAACACAGGATATATGACGTTGTCCCCATTGCTGACTCACAAAGAGTGTTTTTTAGCTTATTTCTATCTTAGTAGTGAGCAGGCACTATCTGCCTGTTTAGTCTATCTTTATTTTATGAAGAAACACTGAGCACCTGCTTATTAAAAATAATCACTTCTTCACAAAAAATAAATATGCGTGTGGGTCATGCTCTGGGCTGTCAGCTGGGAAAGGCCATCAAACCCCTGAGAGTCCAACTCTGATCCCACTTTTGCATCTATCTTTGTTTGTTTCTTAATTTCTTCAGCACCGCCTGGGTTCGGGTCTCCACGACCAAGCTGGTCTCAGCAGAAGCCAAATTCCTTGCGCAAGATTTTGCTGGAATCTAAGCTATGGCAACCATTGTTATACATTGTTATACGACTTGTTCCCTGTCCCCTTTTCCAGGTCTCCTCCCTACTAGAACAGCTATCTCAAACCAATTAAATGTGCACACTTTGACCTGTGGCCTCAGGTGTCTTCACAGTGCCCAAGGATAGATGTGTTCCCGGATAATCTGAGTTAATATGTTGAAAGCATATTTCCAAAGACTACACATTACAGTGGTGTTATTCTGCACTTAGCATAAACAGTGTTCAGCTGTGTGCTAAGCTGAAACAATAGCCACCTTGTCTAATGCTATTTCCTGGGGAAATAGGCTTCAAATACTAAGTACGAGATTTTTTAATCAATCACTGGAACACCACTCATTTCTAAATTGGGGCTATAAGTCACATAAACTCCCCTTAATTATGATGAGAATAAAATTTTATAATCATAAGTAAATCTTACCTAAAAGATAAAATCTATGGTTTTTTTTTTTTTTTCAGATAGGGTCTTGCTGTCCCAGTTTGGAGTGCAGTGGCACAATTCCAGCTCACTGCAGCCTCCACCTCCCAGGCTTAAGTGATCCTCCCAACTCAGCCTCCCAAAAAGCTGGGATGACAGGTGTGTATCACCACAACTGGCTATTTATTTTTTATAGAGACTAGGTTTCACCATGTTCCCTAGGCTGGTCTCAAACTCCCGGGCTCAAGCGATTTACCTATCTTTGCCTCCCCAAAGGCTGGCATTACAGGCATGAGCTAGCACGCCTGGGTGGTTTTAAGCTCTTTAAGTTAAAATCAGCCATTTTTATTCATATATTACTCATGAAGAGATTGTTTTCCCCTTGCAACTACAATGTCAGCTGACTCTTTTCTCTGTGGCTAATTTATGTCAGGAAAGGCACATCTCAAATGTATACAGCAGTGAAGCCTTAATCTCTCCTTCACAGGAGCTAATTGAATACGGCTCCTCATCTTCGTCCTGGCATGCAGTCATTGAGGGTAAGACAAAACGATAGTCACTAATGACAACCTGAAGAGGGCACTAGTTACTAGATTTGGGATAGATGGCACCATAGAAGAAATTAAACTTATATTCGGTTTCACAGATGGACATGAGGCAGAGGCAGGGAGAGGTGGGAGAACAGCCTTGAATTTGAGAAACAAAGGGACATTCCTCAGCAAGTAAGAAATAAATGACTTCTTTCATCCTAGAGGCTACTATGGAAAAATAGAAGCCCTTTATTTGTTAAACAAATAGTCCAAATGTGCACTATGCTTTATACGGACCACATGTAAATATATTGGCTATGGTATGCTTAACAAAACCCATTATAGCTCTTCTTAAAGTACGACCTTCTATATATATCCATCCATTTGATTAGCCCAAGGAAACAGCCCAGGAAAACCCTATCATTAGAACACATACTACATAAAAGAATGGATATCCATTTAAACTATTCTGACCCCATTTCCCCATCCGGTGAATGTGTGTTGTCTTTGTTTCACGCTTGTACCCACCTTGGCGCTAAACTCCTCCTCTTCACCAATTCATGAAAAAAAATAGTTCACAGCAAGTTTTTCAGGATTTGTAAATTAACCAAACATTTGGGACATTTTTGAGGAGGTACTACAACGATTCCACCATCTCTTTTATCTCTTTTCCTTCTCCTTCAGTTTTTTCATCAATCTCTTCTTCCCTATTCAAATTAACTCAGTATTCCCCTCCGTCAGTTAGGGCAGGCTGGGTTGTTCTGTTCCCCAAATAATCCAAAGACTAGTGCATTAATACAAGCATTTACAGAGGAATGAGGAATAAGTACAGTGATGTACTTTCAGAGTACTTATGGAGATCATCTAGGCCTAAGCTTCACATTCATATCTTTTATACCATGGATAGGTATTCAGATACTAAAAACATTATAGTAAGGTGGACTTTATGGTTTCCTAAAAGGAACCATTTGTCCCAATGGTTCCTAAATTAGTATTTGCTTCTGAATCAAAAGATAACTTTAAAAAAATTCAGATGTGTGAGCTCTACTTAAAAACACTTAGATTCAGTGGATTTGATGAGGGGTTCATGACTCCAAATTTTTAACAAGCTCCCCAGGTATTTTCCAGGTTTGAGAACCACTCCTCCAGTTCAGGGGTCAGCAAACCTGTGAGCCAAATCCAACCAGCCACCAGTTTTTGCAAATAAAGTTTTACCAGAATACAGACAGGCCATTTGCTTGTATATGGTGTTGGGGTGCTTTTGTGCTATAACAGCAGAGTTGAGTAACATGAGAGAGCCTAAAGACTGAAATATTTACTATCTGGTCCTTTGTAGAAAAAGCTAGCTGATCCTGCTCTTTTCTGTTTCATAATAATCTTCGGAGTCATATTACTACTTGTGATGGGAACTAAGTAAGGCAGTGTAGATAACTGCTAATGAAGACAACACCTAGACTGACTTCTTTCAGTCATCTTCACAAGATGATCCTTTTCAAGACATAAACAGTCAAATTATTTTCTTCCTGAGTTACACTGACCCCTAATGGTCAGTGTTAGAAATGTTAAATCACAGCTACTTAATCACAGTTGTCCCTATTAATTAGATCCTAAAATTGGGGTCATACTCACAGACTTTGTAGGAGACTTCAGACGTCAGAGTTCACTTGGTAGAACTGAGCAGGATCAAACAGCCTGGGAAAAGGGAGGCAATTTTAGTGAGAACTAGAATCCCTTCGTTTTGCAGAGTTCCTTTCTCTTCAAAGACTTACTCAATGTAGCATTTCCAAGTATACAGGCCATTTATTCCAAAGTGATAAATTTTCTCAGGACATTTTGACCATTGCTGGTGCCTTGTCTATCTCTAAAGTTGAAGCACAATACTATCAATATGGTCAAAATTACATGTGCCTCCACTATGATGAACTGTGAAGAAAGCTCACAGAGGAATCTGGATGCCTGTAAGCAGATAACTGAGATGGTTACCAATGGGGATCACACATATGTTAGCAATAATGAGATGGCTGAGGTGAAACCATTGGTTTTTAACCTTGACTGCTAATTAAAATCCACTGGGGAGCTTTTAAAAAATAATGATGTTCAGACCTCGACACCTGGAAATTCTGATATAATTGGTCTGGGGTGAGGCCCAGGCAGCAATCTTTTTTTTTTTAAAGTTCTCCAGGTGATGGTAATGTACAGCCAAGATTAAGAACCATTTTCTTCTGCTGTAGCAGTGCGTCCCAAATTTTAATTTATATTCAGATCACCTGAGAGGTCCTTTTAATTGCAAATTGTGATTCAGGAGGTCAGTGATACTATGGGAGAATCTGATTCTTAACAAGCTTCAGGGTGATGTTGATGCTACTGCCTGAGGACCATGCTTTGAGTAGCAAGGAAATAAATTATCCCTAGCCACAATTATTATGCAGTCTCAGTATTTTGAGATCTTACACTACATAAGCATCACCTGGGAGCTAACTAAACATGCAAACTGTCAAGCTTCCCAAATTTTTACCAAACGTCCCAAGTGACTGTGAGATTCATAATCTGAGGACCAAGTGATATTTATTCTACAAATCCCATTTTTTTAAAAAGCCAGTAGCATCATTTATTAATTTACAGGCTGCCCAGATCAAATTCAGAGAAACTTTTTCTTATTCCAGGTCACAAAACGTAGGTAACACCCTCCATGGGCACGGAAGAAGAACTGTGCAGACCCCAGGCACAGTTAGTGCCTGAAGCATAACTCACTGCTTACTATATCTAGCTTATAGGTATAATCATCCTTAGTTCTATATAACCTTTCTATATAATCATATAGGTATTGTAGTCAGAGCTGTACTGACACATTTAGTGCTGATTTATATAATCCTTCCATATAACCATTATAGTAGTTTGCAGTAGGAGGAATGCCTTGAGCAGTCACAGAACAGAAACAGTACATAGGAAAACAGCCAGACTAGGACAAGAACCAAAGACCCAGGCGGTGGCATCCCCACCTGAAAGGACATACACTGTATGGCAGACTTGGAGCTAGAGCCTCTCCTCCTGAGAAAGGAGTTGTAGTACCTTGCATCCAGTTCCTGGGGAAAAGTAGGCCTCAAGCCTGAGATCCTGGAAATAACTGAGGGAGAAGAACCCCTCTGGTGTGACCAGTCACAGCGGCTGTACACCCTGTCAGTCTTTTCTCGCTTCTGTGCTAGGTCAAATCATCCTTCCATAAATAGCTTAAGAGTTGAGCACAAGTCTGTCAGTTCCCACTGCACTGGCTTACAGTATCCTACTATCAGAAATCCTTTGAAGTCTCTAGCCCACAGATAAGAAGTGTAGCGCACCACACCTGTTGCACACAGCCCACCTCCTTGCCTCAGTGACCTAATGGGGGTGGACCCCTTTTCTGTACACGACCCTCTACTACTGTGAACGACACGGCCCCCTACTGTGCAGAGCCCACCTCACTGCCCAAGTGACAACGGGGTGACCCCCTCACTTGTGACTCACGATTATGTATGCCCTATTACTAAGCCTACAGATGATGACCTCACTCACGACCCTGCCCCCTGCTTGTATCTAATAAATACAGATGCTTCTGGGCATTTGGGGCTCTCGCTAATCTCCGCTCATAGGTGCGTGCCCGCCACCAGTCCAGCTGCTTTTCACCAGTTCTTCAGTGTCCTGTCTCTTTACTTCTCGGATCCTGCACCTCAGCACAACATAAGGGACACCCCACGACCCTGTGGGGCCCTACAACCCTACAGGAAATGAACTGCCATGGGTTATCTTAGGTCTGTCCAAGGAAGACCCCAAAAGAATGAACAAACATTAGTAAAGAGGATGCCTAAAGTATCATTGCATTACTTACAGCTGGGCAAGAAGTGAGCAACAGCTAGAATAGAGCTGCATCAGCCCTGGTCAAAGGACCTGAAGATTAAAGATCCCCAGTGCAGGGTGATGTGGATCGGGTTGCGAAAGTAATAGCGGCAGCGGAGGTAGAACAGCTGGGACCCAGCCCTGTCCCCACTGTGAAGGACGCCGGGCCGGGAGCCTCGAGCAGGGCGGTGACAAGGCAGTGACACCTTGAGTCAGAGCACCGGCCCACACCAGCATCCCATCCACTGCTGGGCTCGCACAGTCGCCGCTCGCCAGGTCCTTCCGGAGAGCCCGCTCCCGCCGCCCCGCCCCGCCCCGCCCCGCGCCGCTCCGCCCCGCCCCGCGGCCCCGCTCCGCCCCGTCCCGCGCCCCCGCCCCGCCCCGCTCCGCCCCGCCCCGCGGCCCCGCTCCGCCCCGCCCCGCCCCGCCCCGCCGCCCCGCTCCGCCCCGCCCCGCGGCCCCGCTCCGCCCCGTCCCGCGCCCCCGCCCCGCCCCGCCACCCCGTCCCGCCGCAGCGTCCGGCCGCTGGGTCCCGTCCTTCTCCCGCGCGCATCCAGTTCCGCTGCCCCGGCCTGCCTGCATCCCCTAGCTAGCAGCGGCCGCGGACGCCATGGGGACCGCCTCGTCTCTCGTGAGCCCCGCGGGCGGGGAGGTGATCGAGGACACGTACGGGGCGGGCGGCGGCGAGGCCTGCGAGATCCCGGTGGAGGTGAAGCCCAAGGCCCGCCTGCTGCGCAACTCGTTCCGCCGGGGCGCGGGGGCGGTAGCGGGGGCCGGGCCCGGGTCGCTGCCCCGCGGGGCGGGCGCTGGCGGGCTGCTGGGGGCCAGCTTCAAGTCCACCGGCTCGTCGGTGCCCGAGCTGGAGTACGCGGCGGCTGAGTACGAGCGGCTCAAGAAGGAATACGAGATATTCCGCGTCAGCAAGAACCAGGAGTTGTTGTCCATGGGCCGCCGCGAGGCCAAGCTGGACACGGAGAACAAGCGGCTACGGGCCGAACTGCAGGTAACGCGCGCGCCGGGACACCCCTGCCCAGCTCCAAACCGAGAGGCTTTCAAAGTTCGGCGGAAACCGTTCATTTTAATTTGAGAGGCCGTAGTCTCTTCGAGTCTAAAATGATTCCTTAACTCCCTCCCCTTTTTCTGTCTCTGTTGTTTTTGGAGACACGGTCTCGCTGCGGTGGCACGATCGCGGCTCTGCAGTCTGGAACTCCTGGGCTCAGCGATCCTCCCGTCTCAGCCTCCAGAAGTGCTGGGATTACGGGAGTGGGCTACCGCGCCCAGTCCCTGCTTTTCTATTTCTGGTTTTGGCGTTAAAACACAAAGAAAAAATTAGCTCGAAAGTGTCCTGAGGAGGCAAATGCCAATCTGCAGCGCCACTCCCGCCCCCGCGCCCACCCCCTCAGAAGGCTGGTGACATCTGTTGAAGCAACTCAACAAACTCTTCCCACCAGTGTTACCACCCTCTCCCCCATAAAAATTTTACGTGGGGCTCCAAGGTGGGGCGCATGTCTCGGTTTCTTTGTGAAGTTTCATCGCTCTTGCATTTTGATGGTCTTGACGTTAACTTTTCTGGAAGCCTTCTGATTCTCACCATCTTAACTGCTGTGGTTGAAAACCTGTGGTCAAAATTTTTACTCTAGATGTAGTCAAATTTCCTTAGTTCATTTGATTAATTTACTCTAAAAGCAATTATTGTATGCCCTCCATGTGTAGCAGGTCTGTTATAAATCATTAAAATAGTAAGTAAAGCAAGACATTGCTTTTCTCCGAGCAAAGCTGTAAGATTTTTGCCGTCAGTTTGGGGCCCCTCTGATCGTTGTTGTGTTGCTTGTTTACTCTTTACTGTGGTAGAGACTTCCAGGCAGCCTAAGAGTTCCTGGGGTCATTACTAGGGGTGAAATAAATACCTCAGACTGATTTTTCTAAAAGAAAAATGCTTCCTGTCTTCACGCCTACACATTCTTCTAGTGAGGGTTTTTTTGTTGTTTTTAATTTTTAAACTCCGTCGTCAACTGTTGTGTAAAATTATTGTGGTCTGGGAAGAAGTGCGTGTAGCAATTTTTCTGTGGTCTGACAACGGTTTTCCTACTGGGCAGTCTTAATGCACTTGCATTTATAAAATGGACTTGTGTATTTCAAATATCTGATTTCATGTGTCCAAGCCACTGCCCAACAGACACTGCATGTTGGAAACGACTGTGAGGTGGCAGGTAAAAAAGGCCAAACCAAGCAGGACAGAGTGCAGTAAGGGTTGGCAACTGTCACAGTCCCGGATTACTCCTGCCACTAATCCTGATTCCCTGTGAAATATATTGGTTCCTTTCTCACATATCTCTGCATGAAAAAACTCCTCCAGATTTATTTCATTCATTCATTCAGACAGTTACTGGAGACCTGCAGTGTACCAGGCACTGAGATGGTGAAATGAATAAGACATAGTGCCAAGAGGCACACAGTCTCCGAAAACTAATTATCCTTCAAGTTAAGCCTTATAAAATTAATGTTTACTATCACAAAGATAGAAAAGACATAAGGAAGTTTAAGAGCTGATGCAGTGTTTCAAAAAAAAAGTTAATTTCCATTGAAAGCTTAATGTTGAAGTCTTTATTTGTTGTAGTTCTATAGTTCAAGCATGCTTGCATTTTTTTCCCATTATGTTTTGAATAAAATGGCAATGTGAAGTTCCTGGTAATTGGTAAAATAATAAGTAGACTTAAAATTTTTAAGATATGTAACATATATGTAAGAATGCAAAATTTGGGAGCAAGACTATTTTTATCGGGAAATAACAAGGTAAATTATTGTAGGCACTTCAAAAAACGTATCAGAAGATACTACGAGAGAAAGAAAGTGCTTTAGAAGCAAAATACCAAGCAATGGAGAGAGCAGCAACATTTGAACATGACAGAGATAAAGTTAAAAGGCAATTCAAGGTAAATTCCTTACATTTTTACCCCCTTAGTGAAATGGAATGAAACAGTGTATTTTAAAAGTATTTATAATATATAATGCGATGAATAAGTGGAAGTAAATCATATAGGATTCATGAAAGTTGTAAGAATTAGTGTAGAGCACTTTCACATTTTTGAGTTGGGCATGGTAAACTTGAGATAGTTTCAGAGAAAAACGTATGAAAGTGAACATTTTAATAGTAATTTTGAAAAAAAAGGAAAGCATTTCCGTATGGGGAAAAAGCATTTGGAAATGTTTAGGGAGGTTGTATTATTGGTATTTAGTGGGGGAGAGACAAATTTCTTAAACATCATGCAGTGCACTTGACGAACCCACACCACAGACATTCATCCTGCTGGAATTCCAGTGGCTTCCAGTTGCAAAACAGTAAGGTAAAGGTATTGGAACGTTCACCCTACGAAAGAGGATATCGAGGACCAAATGAATATTGGTTTTATGAATGAAATATTTTCCTCTTAAAGTTGACAACACAACTTTTTGATTATGAAAAAGCTCTCAAAATTAAAATATTATTTTAAAGATTTTTAGAGAGACTAAAGAAAATGAAATTCAGGACTTACTGAGGGCCAAGAGGGAGTTGGAGAGCAAACTGCAAAGGCTACAGGCTCAGGGTATCCAAGTATTTGATCCTGGGGAGTCTGATTCAGATGACAACTGTACAGATGTCACTGGTAAGTGTATATCCTATTTCTATTTTGAGCTTTCAACATAGCTCTAATTACACGTAGAGCCAACTTTGAATTCTGCTAGATTTCTTTTACTTATCTATGTTAGGTCATTGCTTTAACTACTGTTGCAAATAGAGTTGTGCATCCTCTCTGTCTGTCAGCTGCTAGGACACCTCTTCTCCACAAAAGGTATGAATTTGGGGGCTGAAGTTCCTTCAGCCTTGTCTCTCTGCCAACCCTAACCCATAAACTTTTATTCTCTGGACTAAGATAGCTGCCCCAGAGCTCCCACCAGTGCATCTGCATTTCAGCCATAGGAAAGAAGGAAGAGGAAAGCACATTCCTTTCCCAGAAAGCACACCCTAAGAGATCACTTCCTAATTCCCATTAGTCAGAACTATATCTGGGAAGACTGGAAAGGGTCATCAGCAGCCAGGCAGACATGTGTCCAACTAAAATGCAGCATTCTGTTACTAAAAGAAGAAGAGGAAAAATGGATATTGGAGTTAGTAGTCTCTGCAATGTTATTTTTTTATGTAATGGTATATTCTTTGCTTAGAATACTTGTGTAACAGTTCAGTGAGTGGTTTTCAGTATAGCTTTGTGAACTATTCAAAAGCATTTGTTTTATAATTAAACATATAAAATATGTTTTTCTGGAAATAAAAGCTTGAAATCACAGAATGAAAGGGTTTATATATTCTAAGAAAATATTAATAAAGTATGATTGATACTGAAAAAAGAAAAAGATTCTATTTTAATTGCAGTGGAAAATGTAGTCACTCTCATTTATAATGAACTATATAAATATATATAAAGTATATTCTCACAAGTGGATGCATTTTAGAGTAAAATATAGTAACTGACAGTTCTTCTTAATTTTCATTTTAGTATCATTGGAATCTGACGAAAGTCCTGGGATTTTTATTGCTAACTTTTGAGGAAAAAAATGAAATAATTCTTGATGGCCAAGTGTAACTGAGAAAATGCTTTTTTATGCCCCAACACAAGTCTTAGTAATTTTATTGACATATTCAAATGTACAGTGTTTCAAAACTATAGTAATTGTCTTAGCAAGTTAGAAACAAATTGTTTTCTAGGTCTTCCTTCTTCATACTTCAATGTAAATGTGAAGAAGGAACACTTGAGGGAATGCCACCCGTTTGAGATTCAAAAAGCTACCAATAGTAAGCTCTGTTTTGTCAGAGATTTTGACAGAGATTTAGCTCAGATAACAATAAAATTTACTTATAGTTATCAAGTAAAGATAATTATGTCTGTATATTTATAATATAAATATTCTGGTAAATATAAATACAATTATAAATTATATTTATAAATTATAATTTATAAATAATTATATTAATTTATATAATTATATTTTATGAATAATTATATTTAGAATTATATTCATAATTATATTTACCAGAATTATAAGTTATATTTATAATTATATTTACCAGAATATAAATATTTATTAGGAAATTATCATGTTCATAAGTAGCTATTGATTCAGGCATTAATGTTGTTGCTCTAGGAGGTTGAAAAGGATGTACTCCCTGCTGCAAAGAGTTTATATCCTAATAAATTATGAATATTAATTGCTAGTGTGCTAGTAACAGTCTCCCTTTGATGTTTTTTTCTTCAGATTTTGATACCTAAGCAGTAC